ATTAACCCTTTGCAGTCGAAGTTATATTAACGTCAAAACCAAGACAGTACTTCTGACCTATAGTATTTCTACTTTTAATAATTATTTTCCTGTTGTGCATGTAACGTTAAGCTTATTTGTTCATGCAGCTTTTTGCACTTGAAACGATTTATTAAATATGGATAAATTTAATAATGCAAAAATTATACTGAAGAATGATGTAGGAATTTTCAGTGGCGCCTTAGAGTCGCCGTTCGACTGCAAAGGGTTAAGTGAGTGAATATAATCCGAATTGAAAATCGATTACGTATAATTAGGGTTCGACCCCCTCTTCATTCAGATTTTATAGTTCATTTATGAAATGTAGATAATTGTTATCCCTTTACACTCGAAGTCATTTTAACGCTAAAACTAAAATAGTTACTCTGACCTACAGCATTTCTATTTTATATGACTTAGTGCGTCTTATGCGTATGAAATTTTTTAATCGCACAACAATTATACTTTTACCAGTTTCTTTTTAATAAAAACAAATTTGACAATATATAATTATTTTGGAACGTGATATAACAATTTTTAATGATCACTCAGAGTCATCACTCTAATGCAAAGAGTTAATAACTTTTAAGATTTAGTGAAATTGCAACAAAAGATCATTAAAATAGAAAAAGAAATCTCGAAAGATGTAATAATGGAAGAATGTCAAAATAATATTAAAAATAAATTCACGAAAATACACGAAAATTACAACTTTTCAATTTATAAGTTTTGTATAGAAGACAGAAACAGTGCCAGAAGCTTAAATCTATGAATGTTGTACACTAAAACTACGGGAAATAGACGTATGTCTACACTGACGTATGTGTCGCAAATTTTAATACATGTTTCATCATAATTAGAGATGTTTCCATATGGAAAATCAGGTCATGTCTTTAAAAAGCTCGCTATGAACGGAAAATACTAAATCGAGTAAGTTGGAAATCCACTAGACGTCACACGATTACTCGCAAAAAAACATTAGAATGAATATCGTGCACGGTTCTGGACAATCAATTGTTTTCTTACGTCAACAGAAAAATAGCCATTCGACCCGCAGAAATTATGAATTAATCAAATGGAGAGTTAGTCAGGCGCGTACGATATTTTCACTCGTTTTTGGCTCGCTGGAGCCCGTTGCGAAGCAACCGTCGTAAAAGAGAAAATTTTAATTTCCTTCTCCACAATTGGACCGAATTTTTCATCGCGGCCGCAAATTACATGTGCGGAAGTAAACATTAATACAGCGTCTAAAAACGGAGTATAGCGAAATAATTCGTGCGGGTTGTATTTTAAAGGAGCCCGTTAAATTATCCCGGGCCACGTTGACCAAAAGAGAAATACAAAGCGAATTTAAGTATTTCACTTTAAAACTGCACGACAGCGTAACACAGAGCGTCTGATGCATCGCGCTGTATTACTTGATTCAGGGAATTCCGAGCCCCTACACCGTCCCCATTACCTCGACATTACTGTCGAAGAATTGTAGCAACGTTCTCGCGATACGACGTGCTCTTACTTTTATCGAGAAAAACGTTGAATCGGTTTTCCATTGCTCTTAGACATTTGCTCCAGTCTAGTTTCCAGTTGCCGAGTCAAGAACTCGAGGAACCTACAATAACTCGTCTCATAAAAAAATATGGTGGCCACATATTTTATTACTGGACGGCAGATCTTTATGCAAATCCCCATCTTCGTCGGTTATTCTATAAAAACGGGGATGAAGGAAACCTCCCTTCCGCCAGCTAAAAGATTCCTTGCGGCGAAAATAAAATGCAACAATGTACCGTTAGTTCTCGTTAGCGTGGCTATTTCCTTGTAATTTACGAAGTGCCATAAGTGTATCAAGATCTACAGTTTAGTTGTTCTTAGGCGGTGAATAATACCAAAAGGTATTTCGACTTTTTATCGTTTTAGTAAGTCTAAAATAGTGTAATGCATAAAATCACACGAGTTATGCATACGAAGAATTTTCCTATAAAGACTTTGTGTCTATAAATTATTTGCATGAACTGTCTGCATCGATAAAAAAAACAGGAGCTAAATGGAAATTTATTTTCTATAATAAATTCTAATAAATTCAGATAGAGTATATCCATATTCGTAAATTATTTGAATTTTTCTATTGATCTGCAGTTTTTTGTCGCAAATTACACAAATTCCGCAATGCAGTCTAATATTATGTAAACAAGAACAAATCGATTTCTCCCCCCCTTATCACTTATGTAATTTTTCTTTCTAATTTGTACAATTAAAATTTCTATCTGTTCGTATTTCATACTTCAGAACAGCGTTGGTGATATAAAATAATGAATGTCAAATGTTTGCGTCATGTTATACAACAAGCACATCAGACTCGACATGTATCACTTTCTCGACTTCCCTTGTCAGTGGGGGTTGCAGACTCGCGCAGCTGGTGGCCGTATTTTCACTGTGGGAAAATGGATTTTACTACTTTCCACGGTATCGTAATTTTCATGCCGTCCCAGTTTCCTCTAATTGTTTTTTATCCGCTAGACCGTTTTTTCTATGCGGTTTTATTTAAAGTTATCGATGTAAAGCAGCCGGAAGCCACTGCGTTTCGTTTCTATCCGCGCAGACTCTCATTTCTGGCTCACCTACATAATTTATTACAACCGATGACCAACCACGGCTCCGAAATACGCCGAAAGTTTCGCGAAAACCCGGGGCTTGGAAGTTTTGCAAGTTTGTGCGACTGCACGGAATGATAAATCGTTTACTGTAATTTAATTATATGCTGTTGTATCGCGCGGAAGTGGAACCGGTTATTGTATGATGGAATAAATAATTACTTTCTACGACAGATATTAATGAGCAGCTGGATATAGATATATTAAACTGTCAAATTTCTCTGCCTGCTAGGTATTGTTCACGTTACTCGCGGCGAAATTGTTTGCGGCATCGTTGCATTATTAGAAAACCATATCGGAACAATCGAATCGTATATTTTCGCATGCTTTTGCTTATGAATATGGAAGCGGCGTTAATACTTGACTTGTAACCGAGGTAAGAACATTCGTGCTCAAAGCGAACAAAAATCACGCTTCGCGTCTGATTCCTGTAAGAAAAGTTTCAAAAATTGTCTGCGATATGAAACTTTTTACATAATTGTCATTATCTTAACTCTCATACTGTGAGGAATATTATCAACTATTTTTATAGGAATTTGTAAGGAATTTTTATAAGGAATATCATTAACTTTTCTTAGGTCATGCTTAGAAGAAGCCAAATTGTTTAGTGAAATTATGTAGTAACTTAAGAAGCCCGGATTAAGAAAATAATGCAAAAATGTAATACAAAACTATTCTATATTACGCTACATGTAATTTATGTTATACTACTGTATGTTATTCCACAAGTGGTCGCTAATTGCTATTAAGCAGATGCAATATTAAAAAAATTAAATAAAAAAAATTATTAACTTTTCGTCTTCGCACGATCTCCCTTTGATATACAAAAACGTAATTGTAGATTCGTTTTACTAATGGTTGTGTTACGTTGGTTATAGATTTTAGAGGCCTTGTGAATACAGCAATTAAGTGGACGTAATAGAATAACTAATTACACTTGGTGTGTATTGAACTAATACGTAATGTTAAATTATTTATTTAACGAAATTTATTCTCAGGAGACTAAAATGCTTTCAGCAATAATTTTGCTTTCTTTATTGCTTGCATCAAAAAATTTATTTCGGGGTACGGTTTACTTAAAATTGATTAAAGTGTTGATGTTCCCGAGATCCGAGAGAGTAGACGTTAATTACGATACGTGAATTAGTTTGTACAAAATAATATATTCAACCGTGACTATTCCAATGAAACTCCCTCGCAATTTATCCTGGAAACTGTATGTAGCCATCAGGGAATTTGTTGCACACATAACTAATTAGAGGTTTTACTCCGAAGTCTAATATTTGTTGTTTCATTTGTGTTTCAGTGGACGTCGTGGGCGGTGAAGTATTCCACATTGTGAAGGTCAGTCGGCTTCACATGGGGGTGTACTTCTGTGTTGCTGCGAACGGTGTCGTACCTCGAGTTAGTCAACGTATAGATCTTCGTGTGCAATGTGAGTCCTTTGAAACAGTTTTTTCCCTCAGTTGGATATTATTTGAATTATTTCGGATAAATATTTATCCATGATAATTATACGATTCTATTTTTTCTAATCTAATATTTTATTTGAATAACGATTATTCATTATTCATAATAAATTACTCTATCTATTTATTCGTGTCATTCTTCGTTCGAATAAATGATTATCATAATTCTTTGTTTGAATAAACGATTCGCGTAATTCTTTATATGAATAAATGATTCACGTAATTCTTTATCTGAATAAATGATTCGTATAGTTCTTTATTTGAACGATACAGTTTCTTATCAGTATAATTGCTTCGATATTTGTGACACCAGGTATTAAACATGATTACGTCAAATTGTATGTTCAATGTATTTGCAGTTTTACAAGCATGTCTTGAAG